CGTCTGGACAAGATACACGTACCACAGAAAATTTGTGCACGTAGGTGAAACGTGCGGCGGGGGCTGCTTCGTTAAAAGTCACTTTCTGTTGCCAGCAGGTGGCGCTATGACTGTGGGTGAATGTCAGCATGTACATGTGTTCAGGGCGGGACTCTCATCCTACATGTACAGTTTGGTGCAGACGTGAGCATGTACACTGAAGTTACGACAACTTCCTGTGTAATGGCGAAGAGTTGATCTTTGACGCCACGCCACGGACACGCCCATTGACGAAAACTTGCAAATAGCACAACTTTTCATCTTCAATGCCTTTAGAAGGCACAGCACAAATTTGAGGTCAGTCGGACTAAATCCCTAGGAGGAGTTCGTTAAAGTACGAAGTGTGTAAATCATCCAAAATTTGACGTAAAATTCAAAATGGCCGACTTCCTGTTGGTTTTAGGCATCGCTCCAAGAGGCTTTTTTGTGCGTCTGGACAAGATACACGTACCACAGAAAATTCGTGCACGTAGGTGAAACGTGCAGCGGGGGCTGCTTTGTTAAATATCACTTCCTGTTGCCAGCAGGTGGCGCTATGACTGTGGGTGAATGTCGGCATGTAAATGTGTTCAGGGCTGGACTGTCATCCTACATGTACACTTTGGTCCAGATGTGAGCATGTACACTGAAGTTACGACAACTTCCTGTGTCATGGCGAAGACTTGATCTTTGAGGCCACGCCACGGACACGCCCATACAACAACTTCCTGTTTCATAGCGAATCATCGACGCCACCGACACGCCCATTGACGAAAACTCGCAAATAGCACAACTTTTCATCGTCAATGCCTTTACAAGGCACAGCAGAAATTTGACGTCGATCTGACTAAATCCCTAGGAGGAGTTCGTTAAAGTACGAAGTGTGTAAATCATCCAGAAATGGCCGTAAAATTCAAAATGGCCGACTTCCTGTTGACTTTAGGCTATGGGTTCTTGAGGCTTTTTTGTGCGTCTCGATACATGTCCCCAGAAAATTTCATACATGTAGGTTGAACGTGAACGAGGGGCTAATCTTTTCAATTTTCTAGGTGGCGCTAGCGAGTCATTTTGCCACGCCCATGTGCGAAACTTGTAGAATACGAAATTTTTCACCGTTCTGACATGTTTGCAAATTTTGGTGAGTTTTCGAGTATGTTTAGGCCATGTCAGTTGAGCCTACTTTGCATAAAAAAAAATAAAAATAAAAAAAATAAAATAAAAATAATAATAATCCGAGCAAATTCAATAGGGACCTCGCACGGTCGTGCTCGGGCCCTAATTAATGGTACACTGACTTGTAATAGGGTAAATGTCATCACATTGTAATCCCAGGCAGGACAACGGTGTAAGGATTTATGGGATCACCCCAACTCTTCTGCAAGCAACCCATAAAATGCAGCAAAAGTATATAATGTAAGTGCTTTGGAAGAAGCTAACTCAGTATTCTGAGTATGGATATCATGACAAAGGCTGTGAGAGAGACCAAAGACGACGTTGGAGAAAGCGAAGAAGAGACCTGACCAGAGTAAATATCAGACTGGCTTTTAGTCATTAGGGTGAGTTAAAAGAGCTGAAAGGATCCTGGACAGATGCCATGCTGGCCTATTTTCTGTTGAACTAGTCAATAATAACTTACTAGCCAGCTTGCTATGTCTTGACCTTTACTCATAGCTGTGCTTAACACTGTTTCACAAAACGTTAAGTCAACAACATTAGTGTAACAAAATGCTTTGTTTTAATTCAATCTAAAAACATCAAACAAAGACAGATATGTACAATCTTACCTAATAGTCACATATAATAACATCTTAGCTTTACACAGAATAGCATCAACTATCACATAGGCCTCTAGTATGGTAGTAACTCATCTAAAACAGTCCAGTTAACTTGCTAATTCAACCCAAAAGCCTTGACAGCAGCGTAGATCCTCTCCCTCTCCACTGCTTTTGCATCGCTTCTTCCACCAGTGCCAGTTTGCATCGTGGTAAAGAGAGCGGCGGAATAAATCCATGTTTCTTCATCTCTCTGAGGAAATTTAAAATTATGTGAAATGAAATAGAAATAGAAAGTGAAATAGAAATCAAAATGCATTAAAACTCATTATGAGAAGTTATTCTTACCTTTAAATTCCTTTTTGCAAAATATTCTTGCAGGGAAACATCAGCTACAATATAAAGTTAAAATGAAGGGGGAGGGGATCAATAGACAAATATAAATAAGGATGCAAAATTTAATATTAGTAACTCTATGTTACACTAATGAAATTACTGTTAGCTAAATAACATTTGATATAGTGAGATAACTTATTTACCTTCATTACTGCAATAGTCACACTTATTTTTCTTGTTGACGTAAATGAGGATTGCTATAACAATCAGACTTATAGCTGAGGTGGCACACAGCAGAAGCAAAATTATGTTGTCCATCTGTAAAACAGACCTCAAGCTGGTTCCTAAACATGAAATGTAACACACAATGACATTTAGTAAAATTCAATTAAAATGTAATTCCACCAAAGTTGTTCAAATTCTACTTACACTTACTTACTATACTTATAACTTTATTTCCTTTCCTTCCTATCATTAAGATAGAAAGGTAAGTATAACAGAATGAATTTGGGAGACATGTCTATGAAATGATGTCCCGGACATCTAGAATATTTCCATTAGACAGGATTGGACGGGGTTGGAACAAGCTAATACATAATATACAGCATATTATGCTGTCAAACTGTGTGGAATAAGATGGGGCTTTTTCAGTCTTAAAACTACTTCAGGGGGCAATGAAGGGGGAACTACATAATGGTAACAGAAAAATGATAGTTACCTGACTCAATGTCCAGTTTTGTCCCATTTCCAAATATAATCTCCCCACATGCAGCCACAGCACAGTAATAAATCCCAGCATCGGAGGAGCTGACATTCTTAGAAAGGTGATAAACACAGCTCTTTGGCGGAGATTGTGCATCAGGTCTCTTGTCACATTCATGATGTCTATTTCCACCAGTGTAGATGGTGTTTGCATGATATTTATCTGATCTAACTCCAAACCAGTGTACACCTGGACAGGACTTCTTCTTAGACGTGGAGAGAACTGAACACTGGAGAGTTACGGCGTCTCCTGGATGAACAGGATCAGATATTGTTGGCCACTGAACTACATTATAGTCTGTCATCTTCTGAGTGTTTCCTACAAAATGCAAACAAAGTGTGAAAAGTTGCAGGTTGTCTGTATTTAGAAGGAGAGTTGGAACATCAAAATGACATGTATTATACAACAGAGGCATGTATTACCTTTTAAAGACAATATGTGCCTATCCATTGATCCTTACTCCAGGTAGTGACTGCACAGTGATACACTGCCTCATCATCTTCGATTGTTTCCAAAATGGTCAGAGTGCTCATGATTGTGGTATGGTTTGCAACAAATCGTGAGGAAGGAAACCCTTGCTCAAATGCAGGATTTGTAGTAGCTTTCATCAGTGTAGTAATTAATGTAAGAGTATCACCAGTAATCTGTTTGTACCACTTAATTCTTGTATTGCTATACTCTGCATCAGGGTAAGCACATGTGAAGGTCACAGGTTCACCAAGATGAACAGTGGTCACTGAGATCAGTGCATCTGGAATAAAAGACAATAGGGAGTAATTGTTATTACATAATAATCGGAATGTATAATTTATATGATTATGAAATTAAGGTAACATTTATTCACAAAACTACAAATAACTGTTGCCATAATTGCTTTAGTACACATATATTAAAGAAAAACATCGAAGAAAATAACTTTTCTTTCCACCATAAAACCCTCAAATAATAAATTGGCCAGAGATAGCACTTACATCCTTGATGGAGAAGAAGCAGTATAATCCCTGAACGGAGCATCCTGATGTTGTCTTTTGTTAAAATCTTTGTTGGTTTTTCAGAGTAAAAGTGATGATATAAGAGTGGTGATAGGTCACACTAGCTGATGCATCCTCTTGGTTATCATAGAAGACGGGCTTTATGTAAGTACATTTCCTGTCACGCTGTTCTTCAGCAGCTTCATGACTTTTGAGGTTTTGTGGTCAGTTTGAACAGAATAGAGATGCCAAACTGCAGCATAGTATTTTTTTGAAAGCTATTTCCGACAATTTTCTAGGACATATTTTCACTTCACTTTTGTTCAAGTCCATTGCAGGTCATCAGTGACTTACATTACAAATGAACGAGACGATGAATTGACGAGTAAAACATACAGTGGACAGTTTAGGTGACTTATCATCCTGCGTCATCGGCATTACACAAATTCACAAGTAAACAAAACTAACAGTTTACAGCCATGCTAGCACCTCTGTGAGGCTGCATGCTAATATCCTTACAGTGACAATGTTGATTAGGTTTAATGGTTACCATGGTCACCATCTTAGTTTAGTGCATTAGAATGCTAACGTATGCTAAGTAACATTAAAAACAAACTACAGCTTTGGCTGAATGTCATTAGTTTGGTCCTTAACCTAAAAGTATTGTGCTAATAAAATATTTGGCCTCTTGACAAAAAGTTTGGGGATAATCAAAGGTATTTTAGGATTCCTATTTTAGGAATCATGAATGTATGAATCAAATTTTGTACCAATCTATATACGTAGATGCAGTCATAACGTAGAAAACTCCAGGTGAATGCAAGGTGATCTTGATGTCAAGTTAGTCAAGCAAAGAAAACAACACGTCCTCATACTAAAATGACATACATGACTGCCAGCGACAGGCTTACCAGACCTTTGTCATCAAGTTAACATATAATGTTTTGAAACAGTCGCAGTTTGGTTCTCCATAAAATGTACTCAAATACTTATAATAACTAATAATCTACACAGATCTCTCCCAATTATGATTCCTGGAATAATATTAACATGATTATACATGTCCAAGTTTCTTATGTACAAATCCAAAATTTCTTTAATTATACTGTACATACAATCTATTACACAAACACTTGAGGCTGAAGGTCAGGTTTATAAGACTTGAATCTTTAATTCCATTTGTCATTTATTTGTCCAAGAATGTTATCATATAGAAAGCTTGAAAATAAACTTTCCACGTAAGAGCTTAATATTCCTATTACATACAAAAGAGACAGGCAGGATTGGAAACACATTTCAAAGTGACCTTGCAATGCAGCCCCTATCATACATATCAATGCTGGCTTAAACTATACAGTAAGAAAAAAAAAATAAATTTCAATAAATTTAAAGATCTGGTCCAAATGTGTACAGGAACTAATTTTTATTTCATTCCATACAGCAGAAAACATCCTGCTAAATATCTGCAGCATGGTGTACCATGCACACATTAAACAAAAATCAATTAGGAACTTTGTTGTACATGTTTCTGTTCCTACCCCAAAACCCTGACATCTGTGTAGATGCTCTCTCCCTCGAATGTATTTGCACTTCTATTTACATTCCTGCCACATTTCCGTCTGTTGAAGTTTGCCACAGAATAAACCAATGTGTCTTCATCTGTCTGTAGATATATATGGCAAAACATTGTTAGATTGAGCGGTCATATAAATGTACGAACAAACATCTTTTTTTAAGTACTTACCTGCTGACTTTGTTGATCACCAGTGGTTGTTGCAGCATTTGTTTGCAGGGCAGCAGCAACAGCTGGATTGTAACGTGACATAACATGAAAAACAACCAGCATCAGAAGATACACAGGATTTAATTTTATTTAGAAAATGAATGATAGACTGATTTAAGAAACACAGCACTAATCTTATCACTGTTTACAATTAGCTAAATAATGTGTGATAGATTGACGTTAGTTTTATTACCATTACAACCATTGCACTTTTTGTTCTGCACAGTGTACATCAGTATGGCTATAACAATCAGACTGATAGCCAAAGCAGCACACGACAGAAACAGAATTGTATTGGACCTCAGGGAATCTGAAATATATATAAAAAAGAACAACAAAAGAAGTAAAAAACAATCATTACTCTTTATTGTTGCCTTCAGGTAGAAATACATATTTCAGTTATTTATGCTGAAGATATTTTTATGTAATATTAAACATGAAGCTGATCTTTAGGAATATGACAATTACAAGCTTACCTTCAGTGTCCAGCTTTGTTCCATTTCCAAATATATCTCCCCACATGCAGCCCAGCACAGTAATAAATCCCAGCATCAGATGAGCTGATGTTCTTAGAGAAGCTGTAGACACATTTCTGTGGAGAGCGAGCCTCAGGACTCTTCTCACATTCATCCCCACTGTTTTTATGAGCATAAATGACACTGGGATGAGATCCTTCTGATCCGGCTCTGAACCAGTACACGCTGTGTTCTCCAGGACATGTTCTACTTTCAGGGTCAGAGAGGACTGAACACTGCAGACTCACTAAGTGTCCTGGGCGAACTGGATCAGATGGAAAGTCTTGAATGACGAAAATGATATGAGGTTCTGGCTCTTGAAAAGAGAAACAAAATCACAGTATTGCATCATCCGTTTTGTACCAAAACAAATATGCCTTTCATTCATTTAATATTTTATAGAATTCTATGCAAGAGAGAAGTGTACAAACATTCAAAGCTGAAGTTGGAAATTGAATTGAAAGTTGAGTATGGCTCCATTCACCTTTGACTCTCAGAAAGGTTTTACTCAGAAACGTTGTCTGCAGTTCAACCACTTGTTCACAGTAGTAAAATGCAGTATCGCTCAGCTCTGTTTGGGTCATATGTAGAACAAATGTTCCAGGCTCTTGTTTTGCTGTAATGCGAGGAGTCTTATTAACGTATGCATTATCAAAGTATAAGTTGCTCCTAAGATTTCAGGGAAGCTTCCAGGAGCAAGTCTGATCCAAAATAAGATTCCTGCTAATCTAGACTGGCGGCTACATATTAGAGTCACATCTTCTCCAACACCAACAGTCTTTGTCACAAAACTTTGGTCATCTATGCATCCTGAAAACAAATCAAATGCAGACCAGTGATTACAAAATCATTCACAAATTTACAATACAAGGTGACAATAAGAGAAACATAAGTGAAACTGAATTCTATATGAATACTTACGGCCAATTGTGAACCCAGAGCGACACAAAATATGGCCAACATTTTCCACTTGAGACAGCAGTTCATTAAGATCGTACTGCAAGATGATTAATCTTAATGTTATTCTATCAAATGGGGAGAACAATGAAATGGGAGGGAACACTATCAAAACAATCTGATTGGTCTGTGCGTGTTAACATGGTGGGCTTCTTCAGTGTACCACCAATGTGGAAATGATCTTGAGCAAGTCTTTACAATCTGCAAATGTGACTGTATGTGCAGTTTTTTTTGACAGCAGTGTCATCAAACCCACAATTCATGCTATAATTTCCACACTTAAAGCAGATTTGTTGTTCACAGAAGTGTGGTGTGAAAAGAACCAAAGCAATGTTTTAATCCTATGGCTTTAATGTCAATTTTTGTAACGTCTTTAAATTATAATCTTATCAATTTACAATTATCATTTATTGGTAACACACTCAACGCACGTTACGCACAGTATGTTGCGGGCAGATTCATGTATGTGTGTGCACGTGAACAGCTCCACCCCACCCCCAAAAACAGGTTTCAAGGAAAGCCTCTGTGTAATTCAACCCTGCCTCATACCTCTAAATGTGACAATATTCAGACAGTTTTGAGTTACATCAGGGCTTTTACAGAATACAACAAACCTATTGTTTTGAGAGTTTCAGATTAATTTAAAAGAAAACATGGACAACGATCCTCCTTAGTAGAGTATGTTGTACACATTCTGAAACACAGTAAATTAGCTTTTTATTCATGAGTCAGGTCACATCATGGACAGTGGTCATCTTGTTGTTGCATTGAAGATCAGCCACAAACAAGGTCAATGTTGAAACTTAAGAGCACAGCAACAGGGTAAAAAATCCAAATCATCCGCAACATCCCAGATAGGGCTACCGCAAGTTCAGCATCTTCAAGGTAATTGTGAATCTGAAAAGGTGTTGACAATATCCAAATGGGGTTGAAATATCGTTGATTTAAATAAATGTTTGGCTTGGAGTTTACATTTATTCATTTAGCTGACGCTTTTCAAACCACTTACAATTGCTATACATGTCAGAGGTCACACGCCTCTGGAGCAACTAGACACTTAAATGTCTTGCTCAAGGACACATAGGTGGATGGGTCACAGTGGGGAATTGAACCCAGGTCTTTCACACTTAAGGCTTATTATGTCTTATCCATTGCACCACTAGTTAGTTTTAGTGCATGGGTGTTACTCTCTTCATAAAGATGCTGACTGACCAAGGCCTAGAGCAGAATCATAAGGGGAAAAGAGGGTTCATTTATTAATAAGTGAATTATTCTCTTTATTTTGGACAAAAATGTAAACTACTAAACACTCATGGTGAACCTACAAGCTGTGCAGTTCAATTGCCACAGGGCAAGCTGTGATAAAATCCAATTTTTTACTTTGTTCATATTCATGTGGTAATTTGTTATAGTTGCAGATGTAGCATTATATTTGCATGTGCTACTTTAGATATGCCATGTTGACTTTGGTTACTACCACAAAATTTATTCTTTTTCCTTAATATAATTTTAAACAGTCCCCTCTCACAGGCTCTCTCTTTACTCTGCTGCCATCTTCTGGCTGATGGTATGTTGATTTAATGATAATGATCAAATATGTTGAATGGTATAGTTTTATTGGATTTTGAGGAGACCCTAAAGCCAGTGGGACTGTAAACCTACCTGTAGACTTGACATCTAAGCTAATTTCATTTTATTTACAGCTCCGGTCTTCCACAACACATGTGATGGTGAATTGTTAAATGGCAATCCATGGAATGTCGATCATGTCAATTTACCAGGTTGCCTACCTCAGATAATTGGAATTTCTATTGTATTTAAGTAACTATTGTTCTTACATTTAGTATGATGACATAATGAGAAC